CTGAGGGGCCCCTCGAAGGGTCCTCAGGGCCTTGCCCTGGTCTGTCAGGGTGTTCCCCGTCTTTGTATTACTTAACTCTCCTTATCAGGGAAACACAATTTCCTGTCTTTGATGTCACTGGTGCTAAATTTTCCCTTCACAAACAGCTCAGGCCACTGGTTTCTTTATTCGTGTGTGTGCACTTAAGCCCAAATCCCCCATTTCTTGTATGCCTTCCAGAAATGCACTACGTAATGTATTTCTGTTCTGAAACAAACCCCACAGCCTATAGGTAGCACTTAGTTTTCTTAACCCTTAGAAATTTCTATTAAGACCGAAAGAGATGACTCAACCCTCACACCTGTGATTACTGAACCGATTTTTAAACCACAACCTGACAATTTTTCTTTCAAAGATCATTTTGGCTGTTTTCATTTGAACCTTTTTTGCCATAGGTGTCCGCAATAGTTTTTGGATCCTGGCTGTTCATTCACCAGATCAACCTCTGCATGTAATCACACGGAGCCACCAGATGGTCAGTGCCATCGGCAGCCATGATAGCTAACCCAACAGAGCACCTAATGTACGGCAAATGCTGCTCTGGTTCCCTATTCTCGGCAATAATCCTACGAGGTGGTCACTGTTGTTAGCCACACTTCCCAGATGGGAAAAGCAAGGAACGTAGAGGTGAAAGAATTCGCTCAAAATCACACATCTAACAACAGGCAGAGCTGGGGTTTGAAGCCTCTTGTTCTATTAGCTGTTTCCCCACTGGAAACACCCATGGCTGCGTGGGCTCCCATTTTCTCATCTCTGAACACCCAACGTCACGTTGGAAACACACGAGACCAGAGTCGGGGATGCACCCCGACTCCACAAAGCCTCGGTGTTTTGTACCAGCATGCCTTGCAGCATTTACACAATACCACGGGTGTGCACATGTGCCAGGCCTGTGCTTTTCTGGCCTATTTAGGACCCAGATTTTTGGAGACCTGACTAACATAGACAGTGTAGATAACACAGTCCTCTCTGTGTGCCTCATTCCTTCCTCAGACCTCACTGGATTCGTTCCTTCCCCTTTCTCTCTTTTTCTCAACTCACATCCCTCTTCTGCCTCCCATCCCCCAGTTTTGTCATTTGCTTACTTGCTTGTGCCCTTACTCAGCAACACCAGTAACATTCTCTGTTAGGCTTTGCCTCTGAGGAGACAGAGGACCCAGGACAAGTTAGGTTGACGCTGAGGGAGGTCATGGGGGCTGTGGGGAAACCAGAGAAAAGGAGATGAGGTTTTGTAGAAAAAAATCGAGGCGTCCCTCCTGGACCCTGGATGCCTGGCCTGTTCATGGGGCCTCAGAGGTGGAAGATGGGTGCCTGCCCCTTCAACTGCTTCCTGCCCACTCTCTCCCTTGAGCCCTTTATGGTGAGCGTGAGGATGCAGGCCCTACCCCTAGAGATGAGGAAAATGGGCCCACGCTGATCTCAGGGAGACAGTTGGGCACAGAGGTGCGAGGAGCTAATGCTGACAGCTCCACGGTAGGCGGGGCTGCCTGGCTCAGATGTCCCAACCACAACAGTGCGTCATGGTGCTCCCTGGCTGTGGCCTGAGCCTTCCCCAGGCTTCCAGACTTTGTTTCCCCTCCTTGGAGGGGGTGTGCAGAACTATGACAAACCCCTCGGTGTGGAGAGGAGTTCAGGACTCCCACTGTGATTCCTTGGCTAAATGGCTTCAACTTGTGGAGTCAGTTTCTACGCCCACGCACTGGGGGATGATGGCCGACTGGAGAGGCAGAAAATGTTCAGTAACCACAACAGCTCACCTTTTCTGAGCACTCACAATGTGTCTGTCACTGCTCACAGCAAGCTCTCAACTGCCCTTTGAGATCTACTCTTATCCCCACTTAACAGATGTGACAAATGAGGCTCAGAGAGGTGAAGCTGCTTGCCCACAGCCAGAGATTTGAGAGCTGAGGCAGCCATTTTTTTCTGAAATGGTCCAGAAAGATTAAATATTTGGGGCTTTGTGGGCCAATTTCTGTCCCTACTTGGCTCAGCTGTAGAATTGCAAAAACTGCCTAAGGAATTATGTAAACGAGGGAGCATGGCTGTATGCCAATAAAATCTATTTGTGGACAGTGAAACTTGAATTCATATAATTTGTATGTCAGGAAATCTTCTTTTGACTTTTTCCAGCCACTTAAAAACCAAAAACAATAAAAAAAAGGTTTATAGCTTTGGGCTGTATGTAGTTTGTCGATTTCTAGAGCCCATTCATCCAATACATGCATAGTATTGATGCCTACAATTTTCTAGGCTCTGGAAGTAGGATGGAAACCAGGCGGTGGAGATGCTCCTCTTTGGGAGATAACACTTTTGTGGGAGAAATAAGCATAAGCAAGTAAACAAACAAGAATATTCCAGATGGCAGAAACAGCTAGTAAGGAAATTTGACGGGTGAGGTAACAGGGCGGAGGGAGGGACCTTACATGTGGGTTGTTTGAGATGTTGAGCTTTGGTGTTCTCTGAGTTCCTCCTTTTTGTTCTTTTTGTCAGTTTAGGCAGTCTTGGGCTATGGCCTGCGGCGGGAGAGGGCTTGACAGTACGCTGATTGGCTTCTTGCCAGGGCAGCGGTATTGGTATGGGGGGGGGGCCCTTTGGCCTTAGTATCTTTGAACCTTTCTTCCTGGTTGGTCGGGTCCCTCACAGATGGGTCTTTCCTCATCCCATCTCCTGGGCTCTGTGCTGTGTGCAGTGAGGGTTGAGTGGGGAAGTTTAGCTCCTGCCTTCAAGTTCCCAGGTTTGCTTAATATTCCTGTGTTCAGGGTGATTCTTCTACTGGTCACTGCTGTTCCTCTGACCAGAAATGCTGCCATTTCCACTCTTTGCAGCAAGAAAAACAAAACAAAACACACAAACACTTTCCCACCTTGATGGGGAGTGTAAAAAAAAGAAAAGAAAAGAAAAGAAGTGGATCCATTTTCAAATGGAACCAGAGTTGCCAGAGGAACCGTCTCACGCATCTTCTGCCTCAAACCTTTGGAACGCAAAACAGGCAAAATATTCTTTGGGCTGAACTTCAGCAACCTTGTTTCCCCCAAAAACCTGTTCGTAAAGAACGCAGGTATGATGGCTCCTGGACTAATGACCGTTGGACTGAAAATGGAAAACTCTGTTTAGCAGTAACATCACTACGTTAAGTTATCTGCACCAACAGAAATGCCTTCTATCTGGTGACGTAATTGCTCCCCTTTCCCTTCCCATAAATACCCCTTTCCTGTGTCTCCTAATCAGAACACTGTTTGGGCTTCTGCCTGGATCAGTGCATCCCAAATACCTATTCCTTTTTATTTCAAATAAATGCTTGTTGCCTCTTTTTTGGACAGCCCCCCCCCCCGCCCACCTTTTTTTTTTTTTTCTCTTTTGGTTAACAGGAGAAAAGCTGATGTCTCTTTTGGGAATTTACTTTCAGCAAACGCTTCTATTTTAGCTGCCACTCATCACACTTTCCTTTGGAATCGGTGGGAGTCACCAATGACTGAACTTTGGGGGGGGTGGTAAAATTCCAAGAGAGAGAAATAGCATTTGCCACCTTGGTGGCTTACAAGTTTGTTCCGGGTTTTAAAACAGTCACTGCAGTGGGGTTTCAGCGGTGAATGAAAGTAGAGGCCCCGTGCACCGTCTTTGTGCAGGACAGCTGGAACCGAGGCCAGCCACTGACCTGGGGAAAGAACATCCCAGTCAGAGGGACCGCAGGCGTGGAGGAACAGCTTGGGCAAGTGTCAGAATCTTCTTCAGGGCTCATTTAAACACCAACCGCTGGGCTTTTTCCGTTCCAGAATGTTAATAGATTGAGGTGCTAGAATTTGCATAGCTAACAACTCCTTCGGCGATACTGCCTGATGTTGGTTTATTGGTTTGGACACACTTCATCAACCACTCACAGAGCGGAAGCATTAGGCACCTGCACAGCAACATGAGCCAATGTCAGGTGTTTTTTCTGTAATTCCCCAGTGCAAGAACTTCAAGCTTAGGGCGGCATCCGATACCCAAATTCCCCCCGTGTTTCCTGGCTTGTTGGCAGAGGCCTAAGACCAATTGCCAGGTCCAAGTTCCCATTTCACTCGGGCAGAGTGAGGCCTGTAGCAGGTCAGGGAGTTGGCCAGTGTCCACCTGGCCGTTCTGGACAGAGCAGGGCTTCCATAGGAGCCCATGCCTTGCTTCCCATCTCTCAATCCAGGGTTGCTTCCTCTTTTGGGTTGAGTTTTGGCTGTTTCTCTGCTCCTCCTCCCGCCCCCGCCTGAGTGAAAGGGAAATTTGAGTTTCCTCTGCCTCACTCAAGTGTCCTTTTCCTATCACGGGAAATTCTCTGCTTGGACTCTCCAGCCTTCCCCTTCTAGGGTCCACAGGGGGCTCCTGACAGGAAGCGGCCTGGGTGGGTGGGTGGGGAAGCTGCCCTAGGGGGCAGGCCAGGGAAGGGCCCAGGGCCCTGGAGAAGGTAGGAGAGGCTGTGGGAAGGCTGAATATGGCCCTCAGGGTTCCGCTGTGTGTGTGTGGGGGTTTGCTCCAGAGCAGAAGGCACCTGAGGCCTGGCTGTCCTCTGAGCCGTCAGCAGAAATGCCGGATTAAGGAGGTTCCTGGGGGAGCCTGGGTGGGAGTGACAAGAAGGAGGGAAAAGAGACAAATCAACATAGAGACTCAGAAAGAATACGAGGAAGGGAGGGAGGAAGAGGACAGGGAGGGGCCCAGAGACTAGATGGAGAGTGAGAGCCAGAGAGAGGCGCGGTGGGGGGGAGCCACCCGACCTCAGGCAGAGACACAGTCACCAGAGACAGGGACGAATTGTGGGAGATGCATAGATAAAAGGAGAGACACAGAAGTACCAAAGAGGTGCCCGGAGAGGCAGAGAGAGAGAGCTCGGGAGAAAGATGAAACGGTGGGCCAGAGACTGGATGGAGAGCGAGAAAGTCAAAGGGGACGAGAGATGGAGATTCAGAGAAGAGAAAGTTACGACGGGAAAGCTCGGCCGGAGGGGGCGGGCGCTGGGATCCCCAAGGTCTCCGCCCCGGAAAGCGGGGCTTCGGTACTCTTTATAAAGCGCGGAGCCTGGGGCACCGGCTGCAGCCGCCTGCCGCCGGCCATGAGCTCCAACTCGGACGCCGTCCCGGACCCCGAGGCCCAGCAGCCGCCTGCGCACCGCCGCCGCGTCTGTGTCCCGCTGCCCTGGGCCCTGAGTGTCGCGCTGGTGCTGTTCGCCGCCGCCGGCGCGGCGTACATCATCCGCACCTGGGTGGTGCCCCGAGGCTTCGCTTCGCTGGGCCCCAGCCCGGCGCCCGACTCCAGACTCCCCGAGGTCCCCGAGGTCCTTCCCGAGGTCCTTCCCGACGCCCGCGCCCGCCTCCCCGACTCCACGCAGGTGAGATGCGCCCCTCCTTGGGACCCCTTCTCCATCCCTCACCCCCGCGGTCACCCCCTTCTTCTGCGTGCCGGGCCGACGGTCTGGCCCCTTCGGGCCCCCGAGAACATCCTTCTTTATTCAGGACTTCGGGCGCCACCCTCTCTCACCTCGTACCCCCTTCGAGACCCCGTCTGCACACTGCACCCTCGGGCGGGACCTTTTCCTCACAGTGGACCCCGAGGGGCGCTTCTAACTGTTGAGGGGACCCACACTTTTTTTTCCCTAACTCCCGGAGAGCCTAGGTTTTCTCCCGGACTCCTGGGATGTCCCCCTTTTCCAAGGCCACCTGGAGGGAGGCCCTCGTGAAATTCCGGCGTGCGCTGTCCTTGCAGGCCCTCAGGGTTGGGGCAGGTCTAGCCCCAACTTCGGGTGTGGGCTTGTGTTGGTGTGTTCTTTTGGAGCAGGGGAGGGATAGCGGAGGCTCAAGGCCTGAGCAGATGCCCGGGGTGGGGGTGGGGTGCGGGGGGTGCTGCTGGTGGTGGCACTTTTCAGGGGGCTGCAGGGGCGGTTGGGGACCCTCCATCCACTTTCTGCCTTTCCTCCCCAGGGCGAGGGCTTGTTCGCGCAGCTGGTGGCTCGAGACGGTGAGTGTCCCGTACCGTCCCTGTCCCCCCGGGGAGGGTGCGCGGAGGAGTCCTCCCTCTGACTCAGTCCGCCCCTCTGCCCTTTCCTCTCTGAAAGCTCTTCTCACCTCTCTAACCCTCATCAGTCTTTCTTTCTGATCTCGGCTGACACCCATCTGCCCGCCTAAAACGTGCCCTCTCAGCCCCGGGGCTGGGTCCTCAGGTCCCAGCCTGGTCTGGGCTCTCAGGCTGGCTCTGGAATTTCCACACTCTCTTTCCCACTGGCGTTTCCTCCCTCCCCCCAGAGACCCTCGCCCCTTCCCCTTTTCAACTCTCTTCCCCGCCCCTCTCTTCTCTTCACTCTTTCTGAGACCTCTCCCCTCTCCCTTTCCTCTCCTCCTTCTCAGTCACCTCCTTCATTCTATCCCCCCCATTTCCCTCCCCTCCCTTTCCGAACCCCTTCTTTCCATTCCGCAGAGTCTGCCGTCCTACACCCCTCCCCTTTTGCATTACACCTCCTTCTCCAGCCCATGTCTGTTCCTGGAAGTCTCTTACCCGCTACCGCCCCCCCCCCCCAGAGTCCTCGTTCCCCTCCCTCTTCCTGACTGCCTTCCCCCTCCCTCGATTCCCTTCCTCCCTTCCATCCCCTAGCCCTCCCTCTCTCTGGGAACCTCTTCCCCACTCAGAGCCCTAGCGCTCTCTCCCCAGGGCTGTGTCCCTTGGCCACACAGCCTCACTCAGCTCTCCTGCTATTTCCTCCTCCTGCAGTGCTGCTGACTGACGGTCTCCTAAACTGGTACAGCGAACCTGGCTTGAAAGGTGTGTTCTTGGCACCTGGCCTGAGCTATGATGGGCACACGCAGGAGCTGGTGGTGGCTGAGGCTGGCATCTACTATGTCTTCTTGCACCTGGAACTGCAACGTGTCCTGGCCAGCGCTGGCTCTGGCTCTGTCTCCATTGCCCTGCACCTGCAGTCGCTGGGTGCAGGGGGTGCAGGGGCTGCAGCTCTGGCCCTAACCTTGGACCTGCCATCTCCATCCTCTGAAGCTCGGGACTCAGCAGCTGGTTTCCGGGGTGGCCTGCTGCACCTCAGTGCTGGCCAGCGCCTGGGTGTCTACCTCAAGGCTGCAGCTGGGGTGCAACCTGCCTGGCAGCTTGCACAAGGTGCCACCGTCTTCGGCCTCTACTGTGTGTCCACCAAGGTCCCCATTGGACTCCACTCCTGACAGCCTTCGTGAGGCAGGACAGACTTCATGAGGCAGGCAGGGTTGCCACCCCCCGTAGGGAGACTGAAGCCTGCCTTGCTTTCTTGGGGCCTCCGGCAATGGGCTCTGGCTTTTCTACCTCACCAGGCTGGGCAGGCTTTCTGGCTGCTGACCCCCTTCTCAAGGACTCTTCTGGTTCCTCTGTCACTCCTGCTCCAAGTCAAACCCTTGGTATTTATTATGAGCCTGAGCTTGGACAACAAACTTTATATTAATATATTGAACTTATATTTATTGATCACCTACTACATGGCAGTTACTGTGTAGGGCTGGAGAAACACCAGCCCACAAAATAGACCCCCCCCAAAAATCCTTATTTATGTTAATATGTGAGAAATAAAGACTCACGTCTAGCCCCTCTCTGGGATTTGTGGGCTAGCTTTTGGGGATTCGCAGAATTCTTTGTTGTATGAGTTTAATTCATTCATGCAACTTGCATTTTGAGCATCTACTGTGTGTCAGGCACTGTTTTAGGTGTTGTGGACACAGCTGTGAACAAGACAGACCAAAACCCAGCTTTCACCAAGCTGACGTCTCTTGGGCTGGGTTGACTCTGTGACTGTGATTGTGTGCGACTTGTGGCGGCTGGGCCAGGGGCACACTGACAGATGGAGCGTGGCACTGGGTAATAAAATGGAAACTTAATGATAACTGTGTGGGGGCCATTTACTGTGTGCCAGACAGTGTTATTTGAGACTCGTAACCACCCTATGCTTTAAGGATTTTGTTATTTCCATTGTACCGTTATACGGGCTCTTGAGGTTATTTTCCTCTATTGTAAGTGCACAGTGGAAATACTGCAGAATGCAGCTGTGCAGGACATCGCTCGTCAGCTCTGTTCCGTGACATCACACCAATAACTTAATATCAGCCGTGGGATCAGCAGATCCCAAGTCGGGGCTTGATTTATCGTCTGTTGGTCATCCAGACTTGAATGATGGAGGAATTGATTTTAAACACATAGACATGACTTAAAACTGGGTCTTGTCATCACCAATTACGTTGTGAATAACACACACACACACACACACACACACACACACACACACATCAAGGGAGTCTTCTCGTCTGGTGTTTTCCAACCATTATCTGGTTCTGTGAAGAGGCTGCTCAGGTCATGCACAAGCAAGTGAAGTGTGGGCATGTATCTTTGGTTCGTTTTATCTTAGTCTTTAAAGGAAAGTACTGTCTATATCTCCTTGTTTGTCACTTGTGCCTAGGGTTGGCTGGATGTACAAGAGTGATGAAAGTTAGGGTATTCTGTAAGAACCAACTGACTATGTAGAGTTTTCAATAAAGAATATTTTTATTTTATCTGTCAGTGGTGTGCTATACAATCATTTATGTAAAATTTATAATAAGCACATGATTTCACTTCCCCCCCTGAAGAGCTGTTTTTAAACATGCAGCAGCACACAGTCCCTCTCTCTAGACCTGGCCGGTTCCCCCAACCCTGTAATTTTTGTCACCATGCAGAACTTACGCCCACTGGCCCATATGAGCCGGCTGGACCCTGGCTCTCCTTACAGATCTAGGACCAAAGGGGCTGCATGGACAGAGAAGTCTGCAGCAAGCGGACTTTGATGGGTCTTAAGAAGAGGAAGGGGGGTGAGCAAGGAAGACGTGGGGGAGTTTGGCCTGCAGTGGCCAGACAGGAGGGTATGAGATGGACAGAGAAGACATGGAAGTGGAGGTGAATTGCACTTTCCTGTCCCATCTCTACTCCTCAAGGGGTTTGTCCCTCCTGAGTGGGCAGAACTGAAGCTGAATATGGCCATACTAGTCGTTAAATTATTAAACCAGTTCTATACTAGTTGGTGAGTACATGTTAATCCCAGTCGCCATTCCTGGATATTTCCTCTGGACACCTAAGATGGCCCTTGTGACAAAGCATCCAAAGCTTTAACCCTTGGTGCATTTCTAGAGTTTGTGGGGGAAGGGTAGTTCCCAGAATTCTTGGTCGAGAACCAGTGTCAAATCTAATTGGTCAGCATCTAGCTACACTGGTTGTGGCTTATTGGATAACACCCTTGACACTAGGTGATGCTTCCTGTCAGCACAGCTGATTGGGCCAGGGTGGACATGTGATTCAAGCTGGGCCAATCTCCACAGAGAGTGGCGGGCCTGGCCTCACAGACGGTATGTCAGGAACTCTATAGGAGAGAGAGACATGAAAAGGCTTCTATGCAGAGAGAGAGAGGAGATGAAGATGCACAGAATTTTATAGGTGAGGCCACAGAACCCTAGAGAAACAGAGGAAAGACCTAGGTTTCCTACTTGCCTCCTTCTGATGGCATGGGATACCCTATACCTATTACAGGGTGGGGCCAAAGTGGGTTTACAGTTGTGAGTATGCAAAACACGTTTATTTTTGTATCATTATTTATTAATCATTGGATTATTTCCCACAGGAACAACTGTTAACCCACTTTTGTCCCTCCCCGTAGTTCCCTAGGGCTGCCCTAACAAAGTGCCACAAACTGGGTGGCTTGAAACAGCAGACGTGTGTTATCTCCCAGTTCTGGAGGCCAGAGTTCAACATCAAGGTGTCGGCCAGGCCACGCTCCCTCCAGAGGCTCTAAGGAAGAAGCCTCCCCTGCCTCTAACAGCTTCCAGGGGTTGCCTGCAGCCCAGGGGTTGCCCTTGCTTTGTAGCTGTGCTGTTCCAACCTCTGCTGCGTCTGCACGTGGCCTCTTCCCTCTGTGTCTCTTCTCTTCCTATAGGGATAAATCACATTGGATGTAGGGCCCACCTCTTTATTTAATTACATTTGCAAAGACCCTCTTTCCAAATGAAGTAATAATCTGAGGTTCCAGGGAGACTATGAACCCTGAGGGCGGGGCACTGTTCAACCCAGTACAGCTAGTTTCTCGCCTTGGGGACCGTGAGAAACTAGAGTTTCCCCCTGTGATTTTCAATCTGAGTAGGCTCTGCTCCATGCTGCGAAGTGACCTTTAATATAGTGTTCCCAAGGATGCAGATCCTCAAGTTTGTTGATGTCTTACCTGGTGGCTTTGGGATCTGAGAGATTGTCCTACTTTCTGGGTTATGTTGTGTGTGGGGGTGTTCCACCACAAGGATGCCTGGGTCCCATGGACCTGTAGGGTGTTACCGAGACCAAAGGCGTGCAGATGGAATTCTACAATAGCAACAATACCCACAGTTGACATTTACTAATGTTTACTTGGCCCAGACACTAACTGCTTTGCAAGGACTCCATCAGGAAGGTACTATCCTATTTTTATTCCCGCTTTACAGGCAAGGAAACCCAGAGAGGTCAACCCAGGTCACACGTCCAGTAACAGGTAGTGTGTTGACAGTACAAGCTCTAGAGCCAGACTTCCTCGAATGCGGGTCGCTGCCCGGTGACCTCATAGTATACATAGAAGTTTGGGTTGAATCATTGTGTCCTCCCCGCAATTCATTTGTTGAATTTCTAACTCCAAGTCTTCAGAATGTGACTGTATTTGGAGACAGGGTCTTTACAGGGTTTTCTAATTAAATTAATACAACGTCACTGGGCTTGGTCCTAATCCAATATGACTGGTATCCTTGTAAAAGGGGGAAACTTGGAGATACACACACACAAACATGCACCCCCCCCCACACACACACAGCAAGAAAGTCATGTAAGTGACTCCTTGGCTGTCTACAAGCCAAGGAGTCAGGCCTGGAACAGAGCCTTCCCTCGGAGCCCTCAGAAGGAGTCAGCCCTGCTGACACCTCCGTCCCCATCTCCTTCAACAGCCCAAATGAACTGACCCCACGTGGATGCATTTATGGTCTTTAGTATTCCTTAGCCGTAGTACTCATAGACCAGGGACATTAGCGTGCTTGATTATCAGGGTTGTCCCAGTAGCCCCGGGTTGGGTAATAATATGTGTAAAGTTAAAACTCTCAGTTTTTTCCTTGCTACGAGGGAAAAACCCAGTTCTTCCTTCATGTGTGTTTCTCTCCTGTGAGTCTCCTTTACTACCCACACAAAACATTTTGCATTTGACAATTCTGATACCAAATATGTAGATGTTTATCTTCCACACCAACAGACAATTCTTAGACACCGGCTGGGTGTCTGAGAATTCAACTAATCCTCGCACCATTTCCTGGCTGTAACGTTAGATCCCACGGGTTAAGGGCTGGGTCCCACAAGACTGCTCCTGCCCCACCCCTCCCTCTTCAGAGGCCAGTCGAATGCCCAGGTTATATATAACCTGTACTTCTGATCAACTGGCTGTAGATTAAAGGTTCCAACGACCCCTCCCTTGGGCTCAATTAATTTGCTGGAGTGGCTCACAGAACACAGGGAAACACTGGCTTACATTTACCAGTGTATTACAGGGTGTGAAAAAGAATACAGGTGGACAACCAGTCAAAGAGGTCTGGGAGGGTCCTGAGTGCAGGAGCTTCTGTTCCTGTGGAGTCGGGGGGGGGGTGTCATCATCCTTGTGTAGAGATGTGTTCACCAACCTGGAATGTCCCCTGAGCCCCGACTCTCAGTATTTTATGGAGGTTTACTCACCTGGGCATGACAAATTATTTTAACTCTGTTTCCAGCCCTCACCCCTCTCTGGAGGGTGGGGTTGGAAGCTGAAAATTCCCAGCTTCTGATCATGGCTTGGTCTTTCTGGTGACAGCCCCTATCTTGAAGTCATTCCAGAGTTGCCTCATTAGGCCAACTGATGTTCTTTATGTTTTTATTCCTGAGGAATTCACAAGGGTTTGGGAGCCCTGCATCAAGAACCGGACACAGAGACCAGTATGTGTATTCTATCTCACAATATGCTACATACATTACATTGCAAATTCTGGATTCCAAAACATGTCTGGCTTCTAAGGCTTTGGATTAGGGATTGTGGAATTGTATGAGGGACCGGGATGTGAATCAAGACACAGCTTCTCATGGGAGCATGTGTGCGTTTGTAGCAGTCCAGTGAGGAAGGAGTGGAGAAAAGTGCAGAGTATCTTTAAAAAATAATTGTGTTAAACCCCGGCAAGGTGGTTCAGTTGGTCCAAGCATCCTCCCATACACCAAAAGGTTGTGGGTTTGATTCCTGTCAGCACACACACCCAGGTTGCAGGTTCAATCCCTGGTCAGGGCATGTATGAGAGACAACTGCTTGATGTTTCTCTGTTACTTCAATGTTTCTCTCTCTGTCTCTTCCTCTATCCCTTCCTGTCTCTGTAAAATCAGTAAGCATGTCTGTGGTTGAGAATTTTTTCAAAATTGTGTTAAGGACTCTTAATGTGAGATCCATCTTAACCAAAATGTCAGTGTTCAGTGAAGCGTTGCTAATTGTAGGCCCAACGCTGTGCAAAGGTCTCTAGAACTTACTCATCGCGCCCAACGGAAACCGGGCCTGCTAACAACTCTCCCCCCTCCTCCGGCCTTTGGCAGCCACCATTCTACTCCCTGTTTCTAAGAACGTGGCTACTTTAGAGGCTCATGTAAATGGAACCCTACAATAATTGTCCTTCTGAGTGTGACTGGCTTATTTCACTGAGTATAATGTCCCCAAGGTCCACCCATGTTAGTGTATATGTCACAGTTTCCTTTTTTTTAAAGGCCGAATAGCATTCCATTGTGTGGATGGACCACATTTCTTTTTATTTCTTTATCCATTCATCTGCTGATGGGCAGGCATTTAGGTTGTTTCCAAATCTTGGCTATTGTAAATAATGCTCTAGTGCACATGGGAACTTAGATATCTTTCTGGGACCCCATGTCGATTATTTGGGATACTCTCTCAGAAGTGGGATTGCTGGCTCATACAGAACAAACAGTTTAGAGTCCCCCTGCCCCTCCATGAGCTGAGTGCCAGCCCCAGTCCTGCCATGGCTAGCTAAGCTGTGCATCCTTGGGCAAGTGACTTCACATCTCTAGGCTGAGTGACTTCCATTGTAAAATGGAAAGAAACCTGGTAGCTTTTGAGATTATGGAATATTAAGTCAGTTAATGGGTTTAATAGCACAGTGTGTGTGTGCCGACACTTGATTTAATATGTGGAAGAAGTTATCCTTACATCAATTAGGTCATAAACAGATAGTAGTTAAGGTCTGTAGTCGATCCAGTAAAGAGAGGATTTGGGAAGGGAGTTCCAGGTGGGGAGGGCAGCATGTACAGAGAGCCAGAGGGAGGAGAGTGGCTAGGGTAGCGCAGATGGGGATGAGAAGGTCAGACCACGCAAGCTGGTGGATGCCAGCCCAGAGCTTTATCCTGAGGGAAATAGAGTATTAACAAGACAAGCAGTCAGATTAGCTTGTTAGAATCATATCTCTGGCAGGGATGTAGGTTTGTATGGGAAACAAAGAGTGGAGCCAAGA